GTGATTCCACTAGATGAAATCGAGATTGACGAAAGACTCAACTTTAGGGAAGAACCTGTGGAAATCATCGATCGAGAGGTTAAACGAAAGAAACAAAGCCGCATCCCAATTATGAAGGTTCGATGGAACGCCAAACGAGGACCGGAGTTCACTTGGGAGCGCGAAGATCAAATGAAGCTTAAAAACCCCCATCTCTTCGCTTAGTAGTACTGTAATAACTTAACTGTTAGAATTCAAAATTTCAGGACGAAATTCCCTTAACGGGGGGATGATGTGACAACCCAAAGGTTTGTTCCGTTAAATTTAACTGTTTCCGTTAACGGAATATGTCATTCTATAAAAGTTCCGTAATTTGTGGCCGTCAAATAAATAAATGTTTATTTATTTATTTATATCTTATGTTGTTATTTTCATAACAAAATAAATAAAACTAATAAATTTCATTTCCATTTATTTGGAAAATACTATTTTTATTACAACCATTTAACTCGGGTAAAAAGTTTAAATCTCGTTAAGCTTTAGCATCGGGTAGTCGTATATCGGGTGCAACACCCGAGACCTATATAAGGAAGGTGGAACACTTCCTAGAACTCTTTTAGCACTCAAGTTCCACTCTCTCTCTCTCTACTCTCTCTCTCTCTCTCTCTCTCTAGCTCGTTTTCGACTCAAAACCGCAAGTTTCTGCCTCCAAAACATAAGATCTTCGACCCTAACTTGTTCTACGTATTAATTAGTGTTGCTTTAACCCAAAAATCATTCAAGAAAGCTGAGAGAAAGGAGTTTACGGCCTAAGAACCTCCTTAGGTCGTGAACCCCTTAAATGAGGCCAAAAGTCCCAAATTCCCTTCCTTTAAGCTTAGAAACTAGTTGGGGATTTAACCTAGGAGTTTTTAAACCTTGAAACATCAATTTTTAGGGTATAAATGAGAGTGGACGGCCCAAGCACATGCTTAGGCCGTAAACACCCTCTAACCATGCTATCATGCCCAAAAACACTTCGAAACCACCCCTAGGCTTAAGATATGGATTAAGGACTTGCCATTTCTGACTTAGAACATTTAAACACATGCTTTTTGTGGGATAAAATAGAGTTCACAGCCCAAGCATGTGCCTAGGCCGTAAACTCCCCTAAATCATGAAAAATGGGAGTTTAAACCCCTAAAAGACCTTATAACCTCTAATAGAATTTGTTAGAAATCAAACCAAAGGACTAGAAATTAAGGAATGGGGTATACAAGAGTTTACTACCATAAACCCTAAGGTTTACAGCCGTAAACTCCCAAGGAGTGGCCTTTGGGCCATAAACTCCAAGGGAATATGCTCTTGGACCCCTAAACACCCCTATAGCATTGTATAATTCCTTAGAAACACTTCTAAATCCGCATGAGACTTGAAAGCGATCAAAAACACTCCTCCCATGAGTTTACGGCCATAAACTCATGGGGGATGTGGCCTCCCAACCGTAAACTCACTTAAAGTGGGTTTTAGGAGAGTAAACTCCAATGTGAGGTCATACACTCCTTCCATACAACTCATTAACCCTATAGCACTCAAGCATAAGACCTTAAATCAAATTGGAATGCCTAAATGTTTTAATAAGGGTATAAGTCACTAATTACTTGTAAAAATTATGTCTCACATGTTATTAGGGTCATAAAGGGTGTACAAGTCCTTACTTGACACCAAACGCTCACCCGACACTCATACCCGATCTACTCATTTCAGGTGAGTTCATACCCCTTAATGAACCTTTTAAAATGTTTTTACATGTTTTAAGGGGGGGGTACAAGTACATTATTACTTGTTTTACTATCAAATCATATGTGATTTACAATCTATCAACGTAAAGGGATTAACATACAATTTTAGAAACTCATCAATAAAATTGTTTTAACTAGTTACCAAATGCGTTTTTAAGTTTAAATTGTTGTTAAACTATTTCAAAACTATATTTCAACTACTTTTCTTTTAATAAAATATATCTACATTAATATATTTATATAAATAAGACTTGAAGGACTTAGGACCGAGAGCTAGCCTTATTTCCTGTTCTCGTTTGATGTGGTTTTTGGGTATTGGTTGTTCGTCTGACTGCCGTTGAATTCTTAATTATATATCATATATATTTGTGTTAGATATGCATGTTTTTATCTTATTCATACTATTGATCAGAAGCAGGAATTCACATGCTCTATTTAACTATAATAGGTATAGTTAAGGCTACCACTAGTTATCTCTACTACTGTTATACACACCATAAACCGTTAACATTGCAAGCTAATGCAAGTATAAGAGAACACTCTACTTACTATACTAAAAGTCTATCATACTAAAGTATAAGAGAATTCACTAATACTAAGTATATCACACTATCTCTCTATAAGGTACTCTACTATACTTTCACCATGTGACCAGGGCTTCCCGAAAGAGAAGCAACACTATATGTATAGATCTATACGGAACAGACACTATTACATCCCGACTGTTAGCTACAGTTAGAGTCGACTAGGCCAGGGTTGGCACTACATTACTTCACTACGCATGATCGGGAGGGTCATCGGTACTCTACTACTTCACAATTGGTCACATAAGAAGTTATACTTACATTTAAAGAAATAGACTAAGACTTAAAGTATGAACTCAAATCCCGAAGTAATTAAAGATCTATTATTAACTAAAGTTACAACACTACTACTGTTAGCAAGCTTAACTTTTCTTCAGCCGTAATACTTACATGAGGTTTATTTCTACACCTTTACAATTGAAGGTTTCAACAACATTACTTATACACACTAGAAAGATTGACTTACAAATGGACTTTCTGGATAATATAGGATTTTCCAGGGATTTCTACTACTCATAAATACAAAATATCAGTTTTATACTACAAGTTTGCAACCACTTTTATACTACAACGACACTAAACTCTTATGAACTCACCAGCTTTATGCTGATATTCGTTTTCAAAATAACTTGTATCCTCAGGTCAAAGATAGACAGGTACTGGTACAACATTTTGGAGAAGATGGAGCATACAAGATCGATCTCTTATTTTTGTTATATTTTTGGTGTCTATTGAAACTTACAGAATACACTTGTAATTAAACTCACTATGTAAATGAAGTGGTTGTTGTTTTCTTGCTTTTACTATTATGCAATTGTGATGATATTGTACATGACGTCCTCCACCCCGGAACGTATTCCGCCATTCTCGGTTTTGGGGTGTGACATAAGAGGTTAAGGTATGTTAGTTTCCTTAATAATTCTTTGAAACTCTAATTGAATACTACGGACAATGTTAGGTTCGTTATTAGTTAACTCTTGAATCTTTACAAGATCAATATGGCTCTCATTTAGCCTTTTAGGATATCAACTTTCTCACATGGAAGACTTCACTTCGTGAAAAACAATATGCTCAAACTATGAATTTATACAAGATCGAATAGTTCTTTAAGGTTTTCCTTTTAGTGGTTTTATAGTAGTGGATTTTAATGGATAGAGTTATAGACATCATTCAAGATTAATTTCAATTATTTTTGTTTTATTTATGCATATAAATTAATTACCCAAATCAACATAATTATTTTAATAATTCTACAATCCATATTATACTATTAATTCAATTTAGAAGGAAACGGTGGTAAAGGTTACTCTTAAGAATGCTATTATGAGGAAGTATCGAAAGTTACCATCTTCTGGTGTTCGACCGATGCCAGCTGCTCTATGAAAGTTGATTAATGAATGCAAAAAACTGAAGAGGGGAGGTAAATGAAAAGCAAAAGCTACTCCTTCTGAAATTGTTAAGCTCCAAATAAGACAAGGAATCCTGCTAAGAAATTGAGATCTCCATCCCCGATACTTTAGGAAGAATCGCAACGAAGAAGCCTTATAAAAGTTCAAGAGGATGATACAATCAGACATGAGTAAGAGGATACTACTATAATTTCACAACCAATCGCTACATAACAGATTCTGAAGGTATCTTCTCCACCATCCTCCACTGTTCCATCTTCTGAGATTTTTGGGAACATTCTGAAAGAAATGTTTCTAAACTTATCTACAACTCTACAATCACCACCTATGATTCCACTAACATTACCCATGTCATCCTCGCCCACTACATACATAATTCTGATTTCATCCATCGCTCCATTACCACCAACTAGTTCTGTTGGAATGTCTTTTTCTAAGATTTCAATCGCTCAATCTACACCGATATTTACCGATTCAACCAATGCAACTAAAACTTCAGTCTCCACTCACCATAAATCCCTATAATCAAGTCTTTTATAGAGAAGATACCGACTTCCGATATCCCTGCCGACGTATCATATATGGAGGTAAATGCCAATATTGGTGTGACTTTCAAATAGGACACCTCTACTACTCCTCCTCCCAATGATACTGACGAAAAATTGTTCAGAGACGGTCAGGAGATCTTTATGAATTTGTCTTTAGACCCTTCACAATCAACATAAACATTGATGACGGTGATGCTCCTATGACCAATGGGCAGTTTATGTTGCTGAACAAAAAGATGGATTCTATCTTCGACTCTTCCAACCAATCATATTCTTCGAAATGGGACTACATGTTGACATCTCATAAAGCTATTGTAGAGATGCTCACCTTAGAAAATACCAAAGTCCATGAAGAAGCTTCCAATGCCATCCAAGCTTCGGAAAATACAACTTCAGAAACGGCCGCAAAAGTCCAAAAACTATATCAAGAGGTGAAGGATTTCATGATTGATTTCTGAACCTCCTCGGATAACAACACAACTTCTATGAATAAAGTTATCGTTGAATTTTGATCCTCCTTGCAAACTGAGAAGGAGGCTCTTTCACTCATTTGTTCTAACATAAAATTTGAGAATCTTGAGCTCACATCCTCTATTTTCACAAAGATTGAAAAGTTACAAGCATATTTAGCAATTGAAAAAAGATAATGGATGAGTTGGTTGAGAAAACTCAAAAGACCAAGGTCCTATTTGAAAACTGATGCATGCCACTAAGCATAATGCTGATCTTGAAGATGAGAAATATTTAATCAAATCCTGTGTCTCCGAGATCAACCAATACTTGATGAGGCTTGTTGAGACTCGTGACTCCTTGTTGACTGTCTCGGTATAACAACAATTATATCACAAACTTAAACCGGTTTTTGCAATGCCTAAAAAGATTATATCTGTTTCGGGAAGCGGGGCTTCTAGGAAAAAAGGGGGAGACAAGGACCATTAACCAAAGTCATATATTGATCAGAAGGATAATGTAGCTTCTATTTCAGGTAAAGACAAAGGCAAATGCATTTTGGAAGATGACGCTAATGAAAACCTAAAAATAACTGAAGAAGAAAGGATTGCCATGGACAAACGGGACAAAGAGCTAGATGATCTCCAAGTTCTTTAGAAGAAATTAAAGGCATAGGAAGTTGAGGTTAAAAATATGAAGCTTGTGCTTGAAACATAGAAATTATTATTTTCTCCTTGGACTCTGGAGAGCATTCAGAAAGAAGCAATTGATGATCCACATGTGTACTCATTGGACCCCTCAATCTTGTTTGACTTATACAATTATGTGTAAAGTCAATTCGATTTTCCCTTCACTCTAAAGGAATTCTCTTTCGTTGTTTTGAAAAGATTAAGAAGTCATTGCTCTCTGACAATGCAATAAATCGGAACCCCTTTTCGTTTTACTTGAAGTATGCCAAATCACAGTACAATACTTGGAGTTTAAAGAGAATAATGGCTGTGAAGGTTGGTTTGCGTGTTTAGACTGAAGAATTACTGAACATGCAGTTCAAAGGATTCATAGGAGCTAATCACATTCTAAATGAGTTCACTTTGGCAGACATATCATTTATGAACCCCTATGACTAGATTTCTTTGTTCTACATCGTTACAAAAGACGAAAACAAGTATAAGCCTATCATTGCAAATTTGAAAAGGATGATCATGTGATACATCGTTGAGAATGTGAAGATAGATGTCGAGATCCCATATGTTCTAAAAAAGTGGCCCATTCTGAAGCTGGAAGAACAACCAAAGGACATTTAGAAGTTGACGGTGGGTGTTATAGATAAGGATCATTGGAGTGTAGTTTATAAGAGAAAGGAATGTGATATAGTTTAGAATAGTATGCCTTTCTACGAGACAAACAAGTTTACTCATCAGCCACTATGGTTATTATTCTTTTTTAGGCTAAAGCATACAAAGCAAATCTGCTGCTGACCTGAAATGCTTTTTGGATATGATTCGCTGGTACTTATGTATCCAAAGCTCACTTCAGAAGATAATGCCTAAACTTTTTGACGTGCAATGAAGATAATGAAGACTCTCCTTCCGAATTTTACACAAAAGGGGAGATTGTTAGGTCTAATAATGTGTTTTGTTATATATATGTTTTTATAGTTTTGTTTATTCCAAAATGGGCTTGTCCAAGTTCGGAACTTCTATGTAATGTAGTTTATATAAATCATGCATGTAACATATTAGGGTTACGCTTTAGTAATTTTAGCACAATTTTCACATTTTTCCTAAAGTAACTAGAATGAGATGTTTAAAAAAGCTCTAGTAATTTTATATCATTATACTTTTAATAAGATAATGTCCTTTCAAACTCGTTCGGCTAACGATCCTTTACCACATAGGAGTGCGGTGGGTGTGACTGGAAAGTCATTCAACTACTATTTTATAGGCCGCTTCCATATACCCGCTTTATAACATGGTTTTATGAATGAGGCTTACGATTGATTTGACTTACTTTCTTATACGTATAGCAATTAATTATTATTATTATTATTATTATTATTATTATATATATATATATATATATATATATATATATATATATATATATATATATATATCTAACTACTTTATAATACATTCATATTTGTGGACCCCACTATTTTTAAGACATTTATCTTAAAAACAAGAGGAGCAAATCCGAACCCTTTATTTTAACTTGAATGCTATATGATTGTGATCCTCGTAAACAAAAATCAACCAATAAAAAAAAAGATCAAATGTACCACCCCTTAAAGACTAAAGTACCACATGTTATGCACAAACAAACACAATTGATAAAATAAAAGGCACTATAATAACAACTCATACTCTTCATTACACCCTTATTTCAAAACGTATTTTTCTTTCTCTAAGAATCAGTTTTCTTATTTTCTATTTAAAAAAATGAAACGTTTACAACAATCACCACTCTTAGACTCCACAAAAGCCTTCCCTCTTCGCCATTACATCCAAACAACGTTGGTGCTGGCACCACCTTCAACATCATCATTTACTACCATCGTCACTTCCACAGCCACTAATGTTGGCTCCAAATACCACCACCGCTTTCAACAACCCTAGACGGCAGTTGGTATTTCTCTTTAGAATTTTCACTACTTCCTAAATGCAACCTAACAATAACTGCACCCCCATATCGCCTCTGTGGACCTTCTTCCTTCCAGCCGAATATATGTTTGGTCATTGAATATATGTTTGTGTTTATTATGTTGATACATATAAGTGTTTTTTATATTGTAGATCTTTATTTTTTTTGTAGATCTATCTGTTTATGTTGTTAGATTTGTTTGTGCAGTGTAATGTAAGATCTTTTTGGTTCATGTGTAAGTTGTTGATTTTTGTTATTTGTATCTTTGTGTAAGTTATAGGTTCGATTATGTGAGTAAGTTTGTTTGGGACATATGAAGTCTTTTTCCGGCGACCTCGAGTCAAGATGGCTCTAAATACACATTTTCATTGATAATAATTATTAAAGAATGTTCAATGCATGTCAATGTGTGGTTTAGTAATGTGTGGTTTAGTAGGGTTTAGATCAAAAGGTGAATGTTTTTTTAGATTGAATGGAAAATGTTTTATGATGAAAAAGAATTTTAGTTTCTAGATGAAAAAGGTGTATTCACAGAGTCGATGTTATTAAATTTTGTTTGGGTTATAGAATTATGTTTAGCACTTCGATTTTTTTTGAAAGCTTTGAGGATTGTGGCACTATATGTTTTAATTAAAGCAAATGTATTACAATTAACGTAAATAAAAATGTAAAGCCTGTATGATCAAACAAAATGAAGCAATATAAAGATATTCATATATTTTGCATTTGTATAGATTTTTAGAAATGTTTTGAAATTATTTTGTATTTGTTTAGATCGATGTGTTTTCTTATAAGTTATAGATATATTTTAAATTGTGTTGATTTACACCAACAAGTTTCAGATCTATATTATAATTATAATTATGCTATATTTTTTTTCAACTTTTTGAATATTTGTAAAAAAATATATATCTTCATCCACTCCTAGGTTCTTGCTTTTTATTTTTATTAAAATAATATTGAAAATAGAGATGTATTCGATTTTGAGAATATTAAGGCTGCAAAAAAGAAAGATAAAAAAATCTTCTTATAACTAACATAAGTTTATATTGTTGATTTATTAATTTTTTTGAAAATGATTTTATATAAACACATTTATTAAATATGTTAAAAAGTTGAACACTATATTTTCTTTAATAAAATTTATTAATTAAATATGTTACAAATCTTTGGACCGGCCTATATTCGATTTTGAGAATATTAAGGCTGAAAAAATAAAGATAAAAAAATCTTCTTTTAACTAACATAAGTTTATATTGTTGATTAATTTGTTTTTTAAAAAAACGATTTTATATAAAGGCACATTCATTAAATATGTTAAAAAGTTAAGCACAATATTTTCTTTAAATAAAATTTATTAATTAAATATATTACAAATCTTTGGATCGGTCTGTAGTCGATTTTGAGAATATTAAGGCTGCAAAAGATAAAGAAATCTTTTAACTAAGATAAATTTATATTGTTGATTTATTAATTTTTTTTTGAAGTTGGTTTTATATAAAGGTACATTCATTAAATATGTTAAAAAGTTAAACATTATATTTTCTTTAAATAATTTTTTTTAATAAATATGTTACAAATCTTTGGACCAGGTAAGCCTAGCAATAACGAGTACTTGGCTTCATTAAATATTTTTACTTGGCTTCATTAAATATTTTAAGCAAACTATGCCACTTCAAGTTATTATTTTTTAATGTAATCATATGTATTAATATACTATATTAATCAACAACATTCTTAGGAATAGTTAACTTTAGAGACGTGAGGTTTTGACCACAATAGTTTTAAATGTTGACAATTTTAGTCTAAAGTTTAGACCTTTTAGGTTTTAGCCACAATAATTTTGGGGTTTGATAGTTTTAGTCCTTAGATTGGAGTTTGATAGTTTTAGCAATAAAAGTTTCAAGAATTTGCTACTTTGAGTACATGATATTTACCAAATATGACACTTCAAGTTTTTACCACATTAGTTTGTGGAGTTGATATTTTTCGTCCCGCTACCTTCAATAATCTACTACACGACCTTACTTTTTTCATAACATTATACACACAAGATAGTAACAACAAACAAGAAAAAAAAAATCAAAGAAACACCAAAACATGTAACAATGAAAAAAATATATTTGAACCGCCGAGAAGCACGGATCACTAACTAGTATATATTAAATCGCAAATACTTTAGGAATAATAATTTTTTTGGCTTTAGGTTTTTGCAACAAATGTTTGCTGAATTTGACATTTTTCATCCTCGAAGTAAAACTTTTACATTTTTAAGTTTTGATTAAGTTTTTGTGTATTTAGGTTTTTGCCACAAATCTTTAGAGACTTTGACACTTTTCATCCTTACAGTCTAAAGTTTTATATTTTGATGTTTTTGCAACAAATTTTTAGTGACTTTAACACTTTTCAACCTTGCAATCAAAACTTTTATATTTTAACATAAAAACACAAAAAACCTCCTTTAGAGTTTCGCCATCATATTTTTCCAACTTTGATAGCTTTTACACTATAGCCACAACATTTTTGGTTTTTCTCTATCAGTGTTTTTTTTCCCGGTTGTACACTTTTGACATCTAATTTTAGGGGTTGTCGGCTTTTTACTCTATTTGTGGTGATTTACACTTTCAACACATCTTTTAAAGTTTGCCGATTTTCAACTTCTATGACATAGTCCAAAAACGGTAAAACCGCGTGTCCTTTTCTAGTTATAATAAAAACAATCTATTTAAATAAAATTACATATGAGTACAAAAATCAAATAACTCAATTATGTAAATATCCAATAAGATAATACTTAATTTTATTTGTACATTTTAATCAAATTAAATAAAATTTTGTTAGAAAGATCAAATGAATAATAATATTTTGTTTCAACTCATCAAAAAATAAAAAGCGGACAACAAATTGATAAAAGATAAAAATAACTAACATAATGCTCTTTTAACTACAAATAATAGTCATAGTAAAAAACTAAAATCTAATTTCGATCAAAGTTTAAATATAAAATGCTAGTA